TACTAGGAATACCTATCCTAAAAACGTATTTCATAGAGTTTGCAAAACATACTTTAACCCTTACTTTAATAAATGACAGTTAAATTTGTATACCATACCAAACTGTGTTTCATAATGGCTGTCAATTTCAGCCACTACTTAAATGGTTTACATATAAACACTGAACAGTGCCAGACCGCAGCCATCATGCGGTGATTGGCAACTAATTTGATGGACGCGTCTTGTTTACGAACTGAACACATACTGGTGTACCTAATTTGAGTCTGTACTTAAGCGTGCACTGCTTTTATAAAGCCTATTTTTATTTGAGTAATGTAGATTTGTCTTAAGACTAAACTAAGGTTTTGACTGCCTATAGAAAACTGTTGAAGCCACATGGGCCACTAACGTCGGTCACGGGTGACTTCTAAGGCGTTTAATGTGTTTGTAGGGAACAGAGAGTATAGTTCCCTAAGATCGGAAAAGGAGGATCCTCCGACCAGGCGAGGGGATCGTGCCTGGCGGGCCTTCTGCCCAACAGTTGTTCGTTGGGATTTTCTATCCGTGTTAAATCGAATGTAAACTTCGCATGTGCGATGTAGGATTTTTATGACGTCATCCGTTGGAATGTACCATGTGTCGCCACATATTAATGTAAAAGTTTTTACAATAACTATCGTGAGACATACTAAATTTACTTAAAATTGTGGGTTACTCACGTAAATAAACTGAGAAAATCTCTATTAGTTTCGAATCACAGAGGGATTATTTCTTATGAGCAGCGTGCGCGGTCGCGGCGATGTCACGCAGCCTACTAGTAGTAGAGCTTTTATCTGTATATTCACGTGAGTAACCCGCGATTTTTAGTTAATGCAAAAGTTGGTACAATTTTTGGAGAGATGGTTTGGTTCTTGGCGTTTGTTTCCTCTAGCCACTAGTCAGAAAATGCTTAAATTTTTCTCTAAAATTCAAACAACAAAATAAAATGCATTACGACTTTGAGACGCTTAAAATAGAGATTCATTAGGACAATCCGTAAATCCGTTCTGCAATAAATAAGTGTAATGCCGTAATATAATCAAACAAATATCCATTCAGTCAGTATGGCACAGGCGATGCGGACATAGACAAACAGAGTAATATGAACATGCAAAAATCAATCTTTAATACTATTTTAATTTAACTAAATATAGTTTACAGAATAAGCACAGAGATATAATACATTTGATTAATTTCTATCCCAGTGACGTGAACGAGGTTGCAAGTCGGTATCGACGCGTTAATGCCGAGTGTCGCTGAACTCAATGTGCGGATCATAGCGTTATGTTGAATGATGGCTGTTTACGGTCGTTACAGATATATTGTTATAGAGATATATTATATATTGTTAGAAATCAGAAGCAGGTTGAATTTTTTAAAAAGGACAATTTATTACCTTAAAACTAGAATTAAAATTATTACACAATTATCCAAAAATTAATGACACAATCATCAAAAAGAACAAATTCTTAAATAAACAAAATGAAAACAATCTACCCTCGCTAAATACACAAAATTACAAAACAAAACCTGAATGTATGTTGCACGACGGATGGTGACCGAATAGGGGCAAGGCGCCGGTATTCCACCGCTTATATAGTAACTGTCATCCTAACCCCACTCTTAACCTAAGTAATATCTAACAATATT